TAAATTTATACTCCTCTTTTACCGCAAGAATACTTCGAATTTAATGAATTATTTGGATATATATAATTGAAATATAAAAGTTAAGGGGGAAATCATTAATATTTAGAAAATATCATAAAAATGAAAAAAAAAATGCTTTTGAAATAGGGTAAGTTTACGTGAATGAGAACCGAAGAATCTTGGTACAAGAGTTTGGGTTTACATAGATGGGATACGGCACCGCAAAACATGGACGATCTGTCAAGGGGAGTGTCTTGGGAGGAATTTTTATGAGAAACTGGTCCCTATTTAGGTGTTGTGTTAGACACGTGAAGAAAACCCGGAAAATTCCACGTGGCCAGTCCGTTGGTCAGGCGCGAATCCGTGAATAATTCCCAGTATTCGGTGGTTTTATTCACACGGCTACTGATGACAATTTTGATACAAATAAAATGTAATTATTTTCAGTTTGAGAAAGAATAATGTCTGATTTTCAAGAATATATGAGTAAAGAGTATTCTTGTATATTCAATAGATTGTATTTTCTCCATAGTAGGAAAAAATAATCTTATACTACTAAAAATAATTAAATAAGCATTCTTTAATGTGCTAAATTGCAATTTATAACTTAAAATTAACTGATAATATTAAGTTTTTATTTAAAAAATTAACCATATTTGAACAATATAATAATAAAATAAAAATCTAAGATAGAAAGAATTAAAGAATAGAAAAATACTTGAAAGAGCTAAATTTCCGAGAGAATGTTTTATAGCCTATACTGAAGACAATAATTTATAATAGCTTTCTTTAACTCTTCTAAGAATAATTCTAACTACTATAATAACTTATGTCGTAAATTTACCTTTATAAATCACCCGAATTTAAATTTTACATAAAAACTTACAGTAAATTTGATAGATTTATAAAGATAAAAACAACCTATATATTATACTGTATAAATTTATTTACAGATAAAAAGCCTGTAAATAAATTTAAATACATGTACACACGAAAGTAATTATATTTATATATTTTTTAAATAAAATAATTGTTACTATACATTTAAATTTATTAACATTATAAAATATTTTTAACCCATGCCATTTAATCCTAAAATAAAATCTGGAAAAATAAAGGTTTATAAATGTATTAACTTTTATAACAAAATGTGTAAATTTAATCATAAATTTGAATTTTATAGTACAATAAAGTTAATAATTAACAAAAAAATAAATAAAAAATAATTTAAATGCATTAAAATTTTTTTTCTAGTGTCATAAATTCCAATAATATTTAGTTGAAATAATAAATTTCTTTAAGTTATAAAATGATATTTATCCGAAGAACAATTTTTCACTCATTAATTGCAATACTTTATCACGTACTGTACAACATTTTTCTTTTACTATTGAACAGATACGCGCATGAAAGAACCTGAAAAATAAATGCATGAATGGACAAAATGACTGAACAAATTTTTCTTCTCACAGATTTCTTGTTTCTAAGTATCTTATTTTATTCGAATTTTCAACATTGAATGTTTTCATTTCTGTTTTTAATTGAAATAAATATTATTATTTAATCGATGGAAAAGCGTAAAGAATTTAAAATCAACATGTATTAAAGATAAAAATTTTATGACTAAATTCTTATAAAGCGTGTTTCATAAGAAATCTTTATTCGAAAATTAAAATTATAAATTATGTAAAATTTTTATTGGTTTTTTTTTTTTTTGTTTTTACTTATTCTCGTTGTTAAATGAATGATCACACTTTGTGTAATCTTATGAATCTAAATCGTAGTGAAAATCTCATTATATATGTTTAATATATTTAACATTATTCGTTATGCTGTAGTAAAAGTAATAAAAAAACTCTTGATTAAGCGGCTGAGACAAATTATTTTATTTTCAAACTTAACAATTAGGTTTGACTTGGTCTGGTTTAATTTAGTTTGATGGGATAGGGCAATGCAGCATATTGGGATGATCTGTTAATGGATCCTCCTTGAATTTTCCATAGAAAGTTTCCCACAGAAAGTACTGCCGGGAGGACTTTCTGTGGGAAACTGGTCCCAATTTAGACGTTAAACACGAAGGAAATTTGCAAAACTCCATGTGGCCAGCCCATTGATCGGGCGCGAACTTGACCAACTTGATCACGCGAACAACTTGTTAAGGACTACTTGGCCCTTAACAAGTTGTTCATAAGAATGGGCCGAACCACTTGGCCACCGATAGGCCCTTAACAAATTTGTTAACATTAAATAGATTTATAATGCAAATAGGCTGAGTGTACAATTAAACGTTATTCAAGTTTTGAAACTCTAGTTGCGAATTATTTGCATGATAATAATTATAGAAGATTCTCTTCAAAATAATGTAAATATATTTTCAATTAGAAATCTTTTATATTAATTTCTTTCATATTTTAAAAAATATTAAAGAAATTTCTGCAAGTTATATAATTTGGGAATAAAATTGAAGTTCTTATATTAATTATGTGCTTTGTCTTGTCAATTGAAAATAAATTAAATATTATGCAGGCCTACAAGAAGTTCTTAAGAAATATTACGTATTTTAATTTATTCATAAACTTTCTAGACTATGAATAATTAGACAATGCTTTTATAAACGTATTTTGAAAAAATTACTTCTTAAAGTAAGCATATTCACTAAATTGTCATTATAAATGTTAATTTTTTTTTATATTACGTATTTTTATATCACGTTAGTCATTTGATCTAAGTGACAATGGTGATCTACAAAGTTTTCCGATTAAATCAAACTACAACCTAATGTATCATTGCATTTAACAGGAATATTTAAATTATAACATATTTAAAACTGTTTTCTATAAATTTTATTATATATAAATATTTTTCTTCTCACTGTAAATTCCAAATTATCTCTGAAAAATCTTGCATTTACTGCTTATTAAATCGTAGGCCTTTATATAAAATGTATTTGAACACGATCTATAGTTATATAGAAATAGTTAATGATTCATTATAATCAATTACAGAACAATTACAAATATTCAATTACTTTTTGTCCTGATTTTTAAAATACATCTATAACCTAATTTTAAATTATTGATTAACTTTTGTTGGTTTTTCTCTTTTATTATCTCTTCGATCTCTTATTTATCGTTAATTTATAAGACGATAATAGAACTATTTATATCAATTAAAAGCCCATTTAAACACGATTTAAAACTATTAATTTTAAAATAAACAAAACAAAAATTTATGGAATAAATACAGTATTGGATATTTATTCTAATGAACTTAAACTGATATTCAATTATATATAATTTATTAAAAGTACATTATCATAAAAGCTAATTTTAAAATATATCTTTTAAATGTACTAAATTAACAACGATAATTAATTATTCAGTTCAATATTTAATTATTTATGAATTTATTTTAATAAAATGTAATTATGGTCATTTCGTATGGTCATTTAATTAGTTTTCACTACAATTTAAATAAATTTTATTTAATTAAATTTAAATAAAAACTATATTTTGCATAAATTTTATTTTTTATCATTTAATTAATTGAAACTTTTAAATAATCATTCTTACAATAATATTTATTTGGATTTAATTTTTAAAACAGTTTTTTTAAGCTCATTTTCCTAAACTGAGTTTTAAAAAAAATGTTTGAAAAATGAATTCAGATGAATAATATTGTAAGAATGCTTATTTTAATTCTGTTTGATTTTCATTTCCAATATATTTAAGTAGATTAAATTGATAAAAATTGAAATTATTTTTATATAAATAATAAAAAATTGGCTCTTAAAATTGAAGAAGTCGCCAATATAGAACGAAAAACTATGGAATATCAACCAAATTTGATTTCATTTTAATGAATTATCGAATAATTTTAACATTTTTGATACTTTGTTGTTCTTTTACTTTCGGATATATTGATTTTCTACGCTAATTGCTGAATATTAGACATTTTTATTTAAGCTAATAATTTAAAATTTTAAAACAATGTATAAAATCAGTGGCGTAATTAGAATCGATATTAAGTTATGAGGCTAAATTAGAACGTGTAAACATACATTTCCCTTCCGTACCACCGTGGATATAACCTGTGGATATAAACTGTTAATTATTGTATACACATGCATATAAATGCGTTCAAATCTTACTGTACTTATTTGATTTTTCTTAATTTATTTACTTATAAAAGTAACGGTGATCCAGCCTCTGAGCTCCCCTAGTTACCCTACTACATAAAATTACCCGTAGATCCTATACTGACAAAAAAATTTATAAAACAGAAAATAAATTCACAAAAAGCAGCCAATACTTAAACATGTATTAAATTAAAAAAAAAATGTTATATTTTACAGATAATATATTTTATACCGGTGTTTGCATATGTAAATAAAAAGAATATAAATAGGGATTTTTGTAAAAGTTTTATCGTAGACCACCCTGATTTCATTGGCAATTATTCATTTGTTTTTTATCTTTTGTTAATATTAATTGAGGGAGAAAAAGTTAATAATAAACAATCAGTTGAGTGTGCTCAACAAAACTATCCCCGAAGCAGGATAGCGGCTCGCTTTTGATATCGCTGCACTTGCCTAATCAAAACCTTTATAAACATCAATTTTTTTTTTCGTTTTACTGATAGATAATCTTTGGAATGCACGCATAAAAAAAATATTAGTCTACTTATATTAGCCAAAATTAAATAAATTCTTGGTGTGTAGCCTACCTTTTTGTATTTAATCAAACAAATTCGTCTTGAGAATAGCAATAAGCAATATAAATAAATATATTATATACATTATTATTGAAATTATCGAAGTACTGTGTTAACAACCAACTGATTTAACGTTAACAATTAACATATATATATATATTTCATTTCTAAAAGATTTTCTTCGATTTTACTAACCACTAACATCGATGGTTATTAATTAACAAGTTAATGTTTTTAATTTTTGTATATAAATATAAATATAGAATTATTTTTAATATTTTTTACAGGACTGGAAAGTCAAGTGCAAGATACTAGCAAAGACTTATATTGGTTTTGAAGTGCTTTTCAAAAATTCGACACGTCCAACGAAATTACAAACGGACAAAACGGAGGGTGACATATTTTAATGACATAACGAGTGCACGAGAGGAAAAGACATGTCCCTTCTAGCCATTGAAATGGAATTTTGTGGATGCACAAATTATCTCGTTGTATATAAAACTATTTATTATGAGGTACCTGCCAAAACTTGAAGAGATTATAGAATTGAATTGGACTTTAATTGGGAGTTTCCTCAGAGAGTTTCTTCGATGGTATATGTCCTTCGTGTATACCAGTTCGACCTGCATTTTTTAAATCTGTAATATTTGGCTAGTTTTCAAAATGTCCGTGAATGTTAAAATAATTCTGCACTGTAAGTAGCTTAATTGTGATTGTTTTATAATTTTTTGACGCATATAATTACGTTCTACACAGGATATAATTGGATCCGTGTTTAATTTTGTGTCCGACGACGACTTAATTCGTTTTTAAGTTTGGTTTGTACAAATTTGTGAGATTTTAAATAAGGTAGACTATAAGCCACGTTTTTAAGTTCAACAATTTAGACGTAGTTTTATTGTTTGTAGTATAATAACTCTTTATAATGATGATAATGATACAATAATAATAATGATGATAATAATAAAATTATTATTCAGGAACTTGGTACAATGCTTTGGAGGATGTCAGTTGGCATTTTAGACATAAAATTAATATTTTAATGTTATTTATTTCTGATTGTTGATTGATTAAGCTAAAAAACACATTTTGTAAATCCAAATCTAGTTCTGAAATTGTCACTATAATTAAGTAATATCAGATAACTTTTGTCTATACTTCCTTTCTCTTTCACCACTTTATCATAAAATTTTAGACTTAATGTACATAAATCAATGCTTATCACATTTTAAAGCAATAGATTTTTATGTAGGCCTATTTATTTATTGCAAGAACTTTTGTTTATGATGTTGATAGTTTTAGAAAGATCACTAATCAATAAAGCAAATGAAATAGAAAATCATACAGCCTACAAGAAAACACAGTTTTTTAAATATCATTATCACTTTTTCTGAAATAATTTAGCGCTTTTTCGAAAAGCGAACAAAGCCAAATTCAAGCAAACGTTCTTTGAAATTACTCAATATACTGAAAAAAATGTATTCACATCATTTCAAAATTTTCAAAATTTTATAAATAATTTCGCCAGACTTTTTAATGAACACAATTTTTATGATAAGTTACGAAAATAATATTTTATTTTAAAATATGAATTTTTTCTGTGTGATAAATTATGAGCTAAAAACAAAAAGGAAGTTAGATTCGGTATTCAATTAAAACAAATATAAGAACTTTAAACATTTTTAATAAAAAATAAATTTATTTTTATTTATTTGTGTAATTATTTTTCAAAAGATATAAATATAACCTATATATTCTTTAAATCTTTTAAAAAATCAAAACTTTCAAATAAATGCATGGGCATCCGCAGAAAATTTTCCGGGAGACAAAAGCTTAGAGAGGAAAATAATTACATCAATACATTTTTATTTGTTTGATTTTTGGGTTATAGATTATAGAATACAGTACTACATTAATACAAAAAGACAGACAAAGCGTCCCATAGCCAGGGTGTAAGTCCCTAGTCGACATTTCTCGATCACTTTTACAATTATAATTTGTGGAATTTTTTACTCTATTCCAAGGAGGGGCGAATGACTCGTTTGACTCTCTTCGGATGCCGATGAATATATATAGCAGATTATGCATTTAAAAATATGTATTATGAAAGCATTCGAATGTACTGTATTTGTAATTATGCCTATTTATATATAATTAAATAATTCACTGTCTAATTTCGAATATTGACGACCATTTCCTTATTTTACTCATATAGTCTCTGTTTTTCATAATAAACATAACATTATTGTTTAATTATTATTTTGNAATTTAGACGTAGTTTTATTGTTTGTAGTATAATAACTCTTTATAATGATGATAATGATACAATAATAATAATGATGATAATAATAAAATTATTATTCAGGAACTTGGTACAATGCTTTGGAGGATGTCAGTTGGCATTTTAGACATAAAATTAATATTTATTAAACATTAGAACGTTCACATTTATGTAGGCCACTATAGGACTATGTCATTTTAAGATATAATTAAATTTAACTTTTGAATATGTAAGTTCTTAATTTGTAAACTGTGAAATGATAAGAGTAATTTAAATTGTTTTAGCAAAAAAGATTTCTTTTTAAAACGTCGATTTTATTTTGTTTCTCCCTTTTTTTTCATAAAATTGAAAACAATTTAATATCTGTTAGTTAAAATTAATTTGTTTTTTACTTAAATCAGTTTAATTGGAGTCAAATTTTCATATTTGAAGGATACAAAGAAGCTAACAAAGTCATAATTTGCAGAAGAATAACAGCTTTGTGAATTAACGAGAAAGAAAATCGGTTAACTTGCATTATTTAAAAATTCACAACTGATTTACAACAAATTAATTATAAAAATATTCCAAGCATCTTAATTTAGCTTTCTTTTAAATTCCAGCTTAGAAAATTAGTGTTTAAAATGTCTTAAGCTTACAAAATTATGATATTGAATTGTTTTTCCTCGTTTCATTTTATTAAGTTAGTTGTGAAATTTATAGGAATTTATTACTTGATAAATGACTTGATAATTAAACCGATTATTAGCTATATATATATATAGGACTTAACCGTTTAATTGTAAGCCAATTTTTAAAAAATATTTTCCACAAAGAGACCAATTTTAATAAAAATTATGAGGTAAAATCTCGCATGAAAGTCTTGATTTGAGATGTGCAATAGAATCAATAGAAGAAAAACATAGGCCTATAGTCTATGTAACAGCAAACTATGATAATTAAATTAAATATTTTTATTCGATGACATGTATTTAGTGTAGATAACTTCTTTTTTGCAATGTTAATTTACTATCTTGACAATTTATTTGCATAAATATGAAGGAAGGCTTATTAATTAAAATTTTATGTTGTTATAATATGTAAATATAATGTAAGGAATTCACTTGCAAACATATTTTTTAAAAATAATGTTTATATTTTATTTAATTTTTGGCACATTATTATTGTTATAACGGATAAATGCTGTTATTTAAAAGAAAAAAGAAAAAAAAAGGTTTTTATTAAGAAAAATATGCAGTAAATATAGATTTATTATAAAATTCCCATGGATTAAAATATTCAAAAGAATCCTGTCTAAAAGTTTTGTTCCTTTGTAGGTCGGCATTATGGCTAAAAGTGAAATTTTTAATAAACGAATTTAAATTAAATTCATCCAAGAAATTTTCATTTTGGAAGAATAAATACTAGTGCCTCTATAACTGATACTGTATGATATGAATAATCTCTGTACTTTGTGTTCAGTGAATGGTTACATTGGAGCCTTTTGTAAAACCTTCTTAGATGATCTTTTTATGTAGCATCTCCATTTACTCTTTGAAATTATAAAGCAAAGGAAAAAATTGCAAGTGTTTTGTTAATTTGAACGTTGCTGTAGAACCACTACCTCAGTGTATGTTGTAAATAAAGATGGATGTAACCTTCAATGACTTAATGATTTTTTTTACTCTTCTCTTTAATTATACCTATAAAATACGCTAAATAATAACTTACTTTTCTTAAATTTATTTATCAAATCATTTCGTCTTTCTCTATTATTATTAAAATTTTGATAACGAGATTGACAAAGTTTTGCTTCTCAACTTTTTTTTTCTTTTTCCCACGTTGATAGAAGAAGAATAGTTTTTGTTATGTAAACTAAACACGAGTCTATCCTTGTACAAGCAGAAGAATTTGAGTGAATACTAATTTTCTATTTTATAAAGTTTATCTTTCAACTATAAGTTCACAGTTTTTCAAGTAATAATTTTGGCAATGATGACAAATATATCAAGTTTTTATTTACAATATTTAAACAGAAAAAATAAATGTCTAGACTTACATAAAGAAATGTTTAATTTTTTTTTAAATAAATAGTTTTAAATTGATTTTAATATCATTTTTAACATCACCAGTTCATAAAAATGCATATTTAACCTTTAAATATAAGGAATTAAGATATAAAAACAAAAGGCAAATTGATATTAATATCCTAAATATTAATAGGCCTATATTTGAAGGTTATAGAATTTTATTTAAAATTTAACAGAAAATATTATCATACATATGTAAACTTTTATTTCCGGGTTTATCTATATAATTTAAGTATGCAGCTCTTGTTTTAAGATTTAAATTGCGTTGTTTATTTTTAAAATGTTGTTATCCTTCACTTTGATAGGATTAAGAATGGTTCTTTTGAATATAAATTGGCATTCAAAAGAATCGTTGTAAAGCCGAATAAATGGCACTCGAAAAATCATTTTGTTTTTTTTTTTTTAAATTCGAAAGTTGTGTGGATCATAAATTAAGCTTCAGTTTGCTTGAAAAATAGATTTTTATTTAAATGCGTAAACAATAATAAAGATTATCCTTGCTAGGTTAAACAGAAGACATTGTAATTCGTATTTATATTTTTGAAAACAATCCACTTTACATTAATTAAAATGATAATTGATAGCGAAACTGTTTCTCGAGCTTGATTAGAGTAGTTTCAGTAAACACTTCAAATTAAATTTAACTTAAATTAGTTCATCAAATGTATATTTTAAATGCAATTCTGTTTAGGAAATCTAGCATTTTAAACGAACTTCAATTAACTAAAAGTATTTTTCACTTTAAATATTAATTTTCCGGGAACTGGCATCAATAAATATACAGTATTTTCTAATTATACAGATCGATAATTAAATAAAACAGTAAACTCGATTAATATAACTGAATGGTCCAAAACCCGTGAGATTTAGTTTACTAGAAACATTCATTTGCATTGTGTTGTAATCAAATTAAATCTATTAATATGATAAAACTTTTAAAATAATAATTAAGAAAGTTTAAACTGTTATTTAAAGCTTAAAATTTATAAATTATTGCTTATTATAAACTGAAAAAATTTAAAAGAGTGTGTCCTTTTTAAATTCTACTTTATAGTGAAAAGGATGGTCACATCATATGATAACATATAGACTTGTTATTTTTAATACAAAAAACCTGTGCCACATTAAAATTGTTAATGTGGTATTTTCTCTACCCGACAAAATAAGTAGAATACAGTCGTAATTCACTACGAACTATTTTACCTCGTGTTTATAGAATTAAATAAAATTAAAATTAAAAAAATGGATTAATATGATATATTAACTAGTTTTTTAAATGAAGTTTTATTTTGTTTCCATAATTATTCATATGCAATCAGTTCTACACTTTACATTTATTTAATTAATTTATATCGTTCACTTTTATCTTAACTTCA